GCTTTTTCCTTTTTAAATAGCTCATTGATTTTGGACTGCATCCATCTCCGGCATTGTGACTACACTTCATATAGTAGTTAACTACAAACCAGAGTACACGTCTCCAGCCAAGGCTTTTTTGTTTTATGCATTTCATTGCATTTCAACACATTAAGCAGGCACCCCTATTTCAGGCTGATATTCTAAAATTCAGTCAAAGTGTCAGCAACACTGCAACTCATCCAAATTAGAGAATGGGTTTGACTCCATCTAGCTCTGAGTGCCAGTGTACTATATTACTTCTTTCTGCGGATGATCAGGTCAGTTGATTACTGGACACACTAAAGCTATCCATCCCCAAGACACACAGAAACCAGACAACCATTTGCATTCACCAAGGAGGTGATCAGATTTGATTTGCCAGATCAAAACCTTTGTGCTTAAGGACTTTTGGGATCAACAGGGCATTGATGTCTTGGCTTGGCTTCGCGAGCGAAGATTTGGGAAGGGCTTTAACTGAATTTTCAGTCATTTTACTAACATTCAGGAGTCCCATCACTGCTACAACTAGGTCACCCCCTCTGCCTTGTACCAGTCACATCCTTCCCAGTTGCTTGCTTGGATCAGATGATAGATAACAGGGTGAAACAATGTGTGCACACAGCAATAGCACTGCAACCCCAGTTATTAGAAATAGCAGCCAGCAGCTTTCTCAACATCTCCCCATTCCATATAAAGTGGAACATAAGCACAGCTTTGCCAAATCTTTTGAGTTAGGAGCAAGAGGAAGAGAGTGCTACAAAGCTGATCTATAGCTGGGAAAATATATGAGCATCTGGCCCTGCCATTCAACACCCAAAGGTTAAATGAATGGGATTTCAGAGAAACGCCACAAAATTATTGCTTTATGACCAACATGCTTTCATTCATGAGCTTTCTCTTCAGAGGCTGTGAGTGAACAATGCCTATTGCCTGCTGTAAAAGCAAAGAGTGCAGCAAAGAAGAGTAATTGATTTTTCTTCAACTGCTGAGCTCAAACAAAGGCTTTCACTGTATCTCTGATACCTGCTAATTTTGTGACTGAAATGTGATGTAGTTTTCGAACTATCTTGTTCTGCCTCTCTGCAGAGACAATCAACAGAACAAATAAATCACCAGTGCTTGGGTTTTCATTACCTCAAATTAGCCTCAGCATAAGATGACAGAAGCAGAGCCAAGTGTCCTGTGGGTGCTTATATAGCACCTGTTAGCACTCCATAAAGGACGCAGAAAAGGGAGGCCAGGTTTCTTGCTGCTGTCTGCCCACAATAAAGCTTTCCCGTCAGGCTATTGATACCTCTTCTGACAGCAACTTTCAGCCTCCACACCCACACCACTTTTAATCCACTAACAATGAAGCAGTTGCCTTGCTTGGAAGTGTCCCCAAAGAACTCAGGGACTGCATGAAGAAATAGAGAGGGGGTGAGTAACAGAAGGATGACTGTGCCAAGTAACATGTACTATGATTACAGGCATAAATCTAAGCTAAACCAATACATTTGTTCACATGCAAGCCTAAAAAAGTCTGGGACAAATAAACCAGTAACTTCAAAAGAGACTTTGGGTTACCAAAGGGCAAAGAGTTACAAAATGAAAGCAACCTATTTGAGCCTTCATTTCAATGGTTCTGCTGAGCATTTCAGGCTGCAGCCACACATTTCAGGAGCAGAGACATTTCTGATGGGCAAATTTTCAATGGGACAAACAGATCCATTCCAAAAGGCATCTAAAACCAAAGCCACTGGTGAAGAGCCATAGAGTGACATACTGGGATCCTTACAACAGGCACATTCTCCTCTGTTATGCTGTTCCTGGCATGCTTACACTTCCCATCCACTTACTTCACCTTGCCTTTGACTCCATTTGGAACAGAGTCATTACTAGAACATCTGTAGAGTGACTAATACCATGATTATGACCTTCAGGCTATACCACAGACCAAAACATTAAGAGAAAGTGAATCCAGCAGCTTTCCATGAAACCCTGTCGCTGGGGCATGGGTATATTCACCATGCCAAACACCCAAAAGATTTGGTGACAGTGTAGAATTTTCAGGAGCTGATTCTGATAACATGCTTCCCAAGCAGTGAGCTGCCCCTTTCATTCCTCCCTATTTCCCTTTGTCCTGCCCTGCTACTAATGGTAAGGGCATCTTAGGGCTTGCAGCTGATGCCAGTGTGCCTCTTCCTACTCAAATCAGGCAGCAACAGCACTGGAGACAGTAGTTCAGGCAAAATATATCCATGCAGAAGCTCGATTCATCAAGTGTTTGAGCAAGGACTGGGCTCTTAATATTGGCAACTTTGAAAGCAGAACAAACCTCTAGTGCTAAGGCTGTCCATGTGTATGGACTGGGCATTAGCCTAAATACAGCAAGCCTGTGGTATATTTAATCAAGTCTTACAGACTGATTATTTTGCACAACTACATCCAGCACATGTGAAAATTGTCCTAGTTCAGCTGTGAGCAAAGCTACTTCAAGAACATTTTCATTTACAAAAGGAAAAAAAAAAACCACCCCAAAATCCCTTTAAGTCCAAAACACCCTCAGTCAATTGTAGTATTCCAGGTGGTGCAGGGTGAGTGCTTAACCAAACTTATATCAAAACTCCTAGTCAGATAAGAAAGCTCTTTTCTATTAATACCTATTAATACCAATGTGGTGCCTAACTGCAAGTCATCAGAGATAAGTGTTCTTTGACTTCCATGAAAGAATATAAGGGGAGGAGAACTTAAAACATTCTCTCTGTTCCCCACTCCACAAACATTGCTCTCTTCTCACTGAAATTTCATTCCCCCCACTATGTTCTCAAAAATGTATTTCTTGTACCATACATTAAGTCTTGAAAATGACTCCATCAGTATGGGTGTAATACTAACAGTATTGTCTACTAAAAGTAAATAAAAAGCAGTTAAGATTTCTTTTCCTCAGCAGTAGGGAGCAAAGATAACTACTGCTTTGCTTTGACTACACTAACAGTACTAAAGATGTGTATATATAAGAGAAGGTAAATTGTGCATGAAAATTGTACAAGTAAACACCATTAAAAATGGATAAATTGCCTTTCTACTTTTTTAGCAAGTCTGAACCAATTTTCACTGCTCCAAGAAACAGAAAACCTGAATTGCACCAGAAAGCTACAAAATAAGGATATTTCTTTTCTCAGACTTGAAATGTGCTTCTGGCACGCTCACACTTTATCATTCAAAACAGCAACAAACCAAAACAGACTGAAAGGAGAGAGTTAATTTCAGGCAAAGATCTTCCTTCTAGTAAATGTCTCACACTGTACTACTCTTAGCAACAGAATGTTTATAGAACAAGATAAGAGAGAAGCTTTTCACTGACACCTGGGAGAAAAGCAAAGAACAAAAGCAGCTCCCAATGCAAGAGAGAAAAGTTCCATCTTTTAAGTGCTCCAACTTAATGCAGACAGAAGGCCAGCCATAACAAGTTACAACAACCAACCTATTTACCCACTTCCAGAAAATACTTGTAAATTTCAACTGTGTGAAATGTCCAGCTACTTCTTTCATGCCATCAAAAGGCTTCATCAGCAATGGACAATAAAGCTGCAGGCTTGACCTAAAAGGGCTGGTAGGTTAATCTATTCCGACCTTATCTTTATTCAATCATAGTACTGAAAGATTGCTTGAATAACCTACCAGCATTTACAGCGCCAACAGTTACCCTTTCACTGCAGTGCTCCTCCAAAGTGCCCTCCAACCTAAGTTTTTGATCATGCGGATATCAAGAAAATTACGGAAATTAATTGCAAAATAAACCAAAATGCCATTTCTCATTCAGTGGTATAAAACAAAGGAAAGAGGTAAACAACTAAAACTAGAAGCCAATTTTTATCTTGCCCTTACACATTTCTTTCGGACTTGTACAATCGCTTCTTGTCAATCTCGTAGAATCACAGGATGGTTAGGGTTGGAAAGGCCCTTAAGATCATCTAGTTCCACATCTTTTATTCATAGTATTTTCAACCAAATGAAAGAAATCGGACAAAACAGCTCCTGTGATAAAATTTGCCTTGTAACAATGGGCTTAGTCATACAGACCTCAACACTTTGTATTTTAATAACTACTGCCTTGTTTTCAAAACTCACTGCACGAGGGTGCTCAGCACTAAACATAGCAAAGCAGCGAGTTAAAATTATGCACATAATTAGGCCCACAGAAGTCAGTAAGCTGGATTCATCACTCAGTGATTGATGCAATTATTCAACTCTTCTATATTTGAAGATTACAGCCTATGCTTAAATACCTTTCTGGAGCAAAAGTCTCCAATGCTCACCACTGTAGAGTGCACAATCCTACCCAAACATCTTCTCCCTTTCATAATACAATAACTATTTGCATGAAGAAACTACATAGACCTACATCAACCTGTTAGGACTAGGTAGCTTTGAGAATGGCAAGAGTTATAAGAAAAGACTTTCACAACACTGGTTCCTTCATGCATTCACATTCAACTGTGTGGCCATAATTCTTGAAAAGAGATCACTCTTCATGTCATCTGCCTGGTAGTGAAACATCTTGACATGAAGAGAGAGCTGTGTTCTCATTTGACATATCAGTTAGGGCGCTTGCTCTTCAGCATCAACAAACAAATGCATTTTCATTTACACCTATAAATGGTTTGGCAACACAAGAGAATATCAAAACACACAACCAACCATCAGACATCTGAATGACATTTCAAAATGCCTTGAAAAAGTCCACACCAATCTTTTTTAAAATGATCACAGGGATGTCTAAGCTTAAATCTGTTCCAAATTAGACTTAGGCAGATGCTTAAAATACCAGTCAAGATTAAGTGCCATCCAAAGAGCAGGATCGAAGAACAGGGAAGTAAACCCATAAGACAATAAGTACAGCATGCAATGCCAGAGAAACAAAGAGTTTTCCTTTTGATTACAGAGGATACTTTTATAAACTACTCATAGAACTGCAGCACCTCAAAAGTTCCTACCTTGAAAAGCTGTGATGTGACCAACAATCATGTACTTCAGTTCAAAGTTCAGTGCTTGGATACTTTGAGTCCTCTCCCTTCTAACAGCTGCCTGGTAGCTTTCTTCCATTTTTTTGGTGCAGCAAGTTGGTGCTCTGTGTTGACAGACCTGTAAATCTGACTCTGAAAGCAAACAAGAAAAAATAATTAGAAAACCTTTCAGCCTACCCCATGCAAATAAATATTGTTTTATGTCGAAACAACCAACATGTTTAGAATGCAGTCAAAGACACAGCAGAATCCCAAAAGATTTGCAAAAGATTTCCCAAAGGGCAACATTTGCACTGTCCTCCTTGTCCTAAGAGCATCATAACTTGGATCTGAGGGAAAACCATGTCTCAAATTAAGGTTTATATTCACCTGTGCAGTGCCCTGAGGAACTACCTGCTCACCTCTCACACTAGAGAAAGTCTCTCAGAAATCTTTGAACTCCTAAGCAGCTCAGACACACACACACACACACACACAAAATAAAGACGTGAAATATCTTAAATAAGACAATAAGGATGGCATCCTGTTCCTCAGGAATGTCAACTACATCACCCAGCTTCGTGTCATCTGTAAACTTGCTGAGGGCACACTCAATTCACTGGCTATGTTGTTGACACAGATACTAAACAGTACTGATCCCAGTATGGACCCCTGAGGGATGCCACCTGTCACTCGTGTCCATCCAGATATTGAGCCATTGACCACTACCCTTTGGGTGCAACCATCCAGACAATTCCTCGTCCACTGAAGAGTCTACACATCAAATCCATCTCTCTCCAATTTAGAGAGAAGGATTTTGCGGGGAACTGTGACAAAGGCTTTACAGGATTCCAGATAAACAAGCATCTGGACTTGCAGGTTAACACAGAGCAAGGTTCCACATAGAGTTGATGACGAAAAACAAGAGGGTACAAGCAAGCACATGTTAAAATCAGTACAGAAACATCCAAACCACCAAGCTCTGCTCAGGGCCAGCTCCAGGTCAACAGCTCGTTCAGACCAGAACTGCAGGGAGGACTTGCATATCATTTTCCTTGCTAGATTGACTTGAAAATGTCGTTTCCAGTTTACAACATCTCTCATTTGAAAGAGCAGCCAATTTAGATCAAAAAGGCCAAAACCAAAGTGAAATACTTTGATTTACCTTCACTTTCATACCAATTCACAAAGTTGTCACAGACTGGGCTGATTCAAGATACAATTTTGGTTGTGGATTTGTTTCCCACTTGGATGTAATCTCAAAAATAGGAAAAAAACAACTGTACCCACTCAAACCAGAAGTCCTAAACCCTCACGAAAGCTCTTGAGATGAGACCTCTGCACACTGGCATAAGCCAGCAGGCTGCTAAAAGCAGCAGCAGCAGAGCTGCACACTCGCCTGCTCTCATCTGCCAGAGAAACTGTCCAGATTGAAATTAGCTTCTTGGCTGGGCTAATTTTAACTTGGATTGGCTCCATGATCCAGTTCACCCCATCAACATATGTTTGTTCTGTCACAAAGAAATGGGAGTGAGGGAAGGATCACTTCTCCGAGCTGGCACGACAAAGTACATGTGAAGATACAGTACACACTGCTGAGGACCTAAGTGAGTTTGCAAATAGCTGTCAGAGCAGAGGGGTTGTAAGTGTTACTCAGCATCTGCAGGGCCAGGCTGCTCTTACTCGGTGCATTTCTTCTTATAGCACCCCTCTGAATTTCTGTTTGAAAAGCTTTTCCAAAAGTCAGACCTGTACCAGAAGGGATTGGAATACAAAGTGTTCAGTGCTGACTGCATGCTGGTCCTGGCAAGGAAGCTACACACAGCTATGTGCTCCGCCTAGCACTCCCATTTGAACGGAGGCACCACAAGAACATGCACCTCCTCCAGAAAGCCTGAAGAAGTACATGGATATCTCCACTGGAACTGTACTCCTGGGGCTTCCCCACCCTGCTATCTCCTTCGATAAGCCTGAAGATAAGGTTTTGTTGGTCCACAGCCAAAATGACACAGAAAGCATTCTTAAATGGAAACAGCACTAAGCCCCTGACAGTTAAGAAGCCTGATGTAAAACACTGAGCATTAAATAGAGCAAAATCCACTCCCCCAGCAGTGCTATCAGGTCAGTACTGTCATGTACAGAGCTTGGCAATTTCATTTGCTTCAATACTAGCCTGGGGGTATTACTTTTAACACAATTATAGAAACCTAATAAAGGTTTTCGGTATTATATATGCCTGGGTGCTGAGATTAAATTAGAACTGATTAGCAATATCTTGAAATCTTTAATAACTCCGATACTAATTTTAGTTTATCTCTTTCATCTTAATGCAAAATGCTCTCTTCAACAGAAAAATAAGAGAAGAGCACAATGAACCATTGGTGACTGAGGAGCACACTGCATGACCATGAGACTCAGGCTGTGCACCACAACTCTCACCTCAGAGACAGACAACACCTGCAGCAAGTTCTTGATACTATTTACATGCAAGAATAGCAATCATTTGCAGAACTGAACCAAAACTAAGCAACTCATTACTAGCATGGCACCCCACAGTAGGGCCAATTCTTCAACTTCATCACCCATGACACATTCATTAATTAAACCAGACTGCAGTATCACAAGATCTCTGCATCTTGTTCCCTTTCTTTGGTTCTTTATACAGATAATGCCACTGCTGTCAAGAGCAGTGATGCTGATGTAAAACTGGAGTTTGCTGCTACAAATTGGATCCACGGGCATTGGAAGGCAACCCACAGCAAGCAAAAGAGGTAAGAGCCCAATGTACATGAGAGTAACTAGAGATGAATACTCAGTGTGAGCATGCAGAAGCAACAAAATGTGCAAATGCTGCCTCAGGCTAATGCACAGTACTTAAGGGTAATGACAAGAGCCTGCAACAACCACCGTACAGCACACCCCAGAAGTACCAGCTGAGAGCCCCACAGATCACATACAAGAGGCTGGCAGCTTGTTTCTGATGGTCTAGGCTGAACCAGATTTATACTCAGATAGCTTCTTCCATGTTAGAGCAAGCGAGCAATATTTTGCACACAGGGCAGGAAAAAGGCAAGGTATGTAGTACCAAAGGGCTTTGTTCAGCACTCCTGATGTCAATGGAAACATCCAGTGGCATAAACAGTCATACAAAAACCAATTGTAGTTGAAGAAACAACCCTGTGCTGTGCTTCACACTGCTGTGGGGATTTAGTTAGCTCTGAACTCAATGGGCTTTGGGTCACTCTCTTAAGTGAAACCTGTTCCAAGAACACAGCCAGGAAACCCCAGACAACTTCCCATGATAAGAAAGTCAAAACTAACAGAAAAATGAACCTACAAAGAATTTAGAAACACTTTCATTACTTAAAGAGACATGCACTTGATTTCAGAAAAGTACTTATGATTTTCAACTGCATACATTCAGCTAAAATCAATGGAAGGTCAAAACCCTAAACACATCAAGGAACTGGTGATAGTATTAAGTGGTCCAAAAAGCAGCATGGATTCATTAGCAAGCTAACCTAGACCCCATGAAATGCAGGGCTATGACAGTATTTCCACTAACACACATGGTTCTTCTAAAGTCAGGAGTGGGAACGGCTTTCTGCCCTTCCTTATTTGTTTTTGCTTTCCTTTGTCTTGTCCACCTAGACTATGGAAAATATTGTGGTTGTACCAGGAGCAGATTCTACCTGGTGCTTTGCCCAGGGCAGCAGCAAAGAGGAACGAAGATTAAAGATGGCCAATAATGAAATCCCACCTGAAGGGGACATGCCCTGATTTCTGGGTACCAGCCATACACCCCAAGCTGGAAGGCACCAGAGCTTGTCACAACATGATACATCCCATGATGCTTAGTACATGATGTTCAGCAGGAAGGCCTGTATCTTGCTGGGACGTATTGAGCCAGGATAATGGACTTTGAAACAAATGCAGCTTCCCAAAAAAACTGAGGAGAGGAGGTATCCATTGGAAGATGTTCCAAAAACCTTTAAGCCAAGAACGCAGACTAAAAACTTTTGAAAACCAGTGTGGAAACCTTTGGTGGGCTCTAAGGTTTGGCAATACTAAAATGTATGTTTGACGTTAGGCGAGTCACATAGTCTCCAGACTTGATTTCCCAAATGTACAAGAAGGATACTTATTTTTCATTAGTTTTCTTAGACTGTAAGCAATTCCTAGTGGAGACTATCTTTTGTTCAGTGTTCTCCTAGAGCCTATTTTTGCTTTTGATACTATGTACCTACTATATAATTTAAGAAATCATGTTTCTTCCCATACATCACTAAAACAAGGCACCATTTACAGTACTCGCTTGTGTTATTCCACTCAAAATTAAGAGCACTACTGATGCTTCAGAGCTAACCATTCAAGATGGACAGAGCAGTCTACCATGTCACAGAGCTGTCTGAAGCCAGCTCTACATACTGGCAGGCAGCACTGGCTGCAGTCAGTCCACATTTGGGAAGGCCTGAGGCAGGCAGTTAGAAAGGAAGCTGGGATGAGGACTGCAGCCAAACTGACACAAGCTGGCCCTATTCAGTCCTTGCTACTCCACTAATGCTTTGGCACCTGTGATAGTGACTCTAGAGTAAACTTCCCAAATCTACGCCAACAGTCCTGCCAACAAATGACATCGATACTTTTCATCACAGTTGGGGTTTATTTCTATCAGAGAAGGCCAAAGAGTACAACAGGTCTGTGATCAGCAGAAGGGGAGCTTCAGATCACAGCCAGGTATAGCCAAATCACAGCTGCCTTTTGGGGAAGGCAAATGTTTATATTTCCTGACGTATCTAGGACAAAGCAGGTTAGGAAGAGTAAATTTGATTACTGCAGCTTGAAACTGGAAGTGCAATACTTCAGCCAAATACAACTTTAGGCTGCTCCGCATGGTAACAGATATATTTTTTCCCAGGCTTCAAAACTAAGATCGGGAGACTTAAGTCTTCCCTGTAGCAGGCGTTTGAAAGCCTTGCTTTGAGATGAAGGTTTTCAACCTCTTTTTTCAAAAGCCCTACTGTGTTTTGGGGACTGAGTGGGGTTTCTACATATACTTTGTTCTCTTGACTTCCGATTGACTACACCTCTCCTTTCAACTGTCCATGTGAAAATGTAAGATAACTGACAAACGTGCTGTTCAGTGCTTTTGA